GATATTAAAAAGACCCCACAGGGAACTTGATTTCCTTGATTTTACCTGTTGTAAACCTTTTAACGAAAAGAAGAAAAGGAAAAGGGTTTATGATAAAAAAACCGACCACGCAGGAAACGAGATGGTGGAAACGAGATGTTTTTGAACTTGAAGATGAATTTTTCATCCAAGATTACAAAAGGCCAAACACAATTTGGGGGGCATATACTATTGGAAGAAAAAATTTAATTTCGGAATCGGGTTAGCCAAAGATCGCTCTACAAAAGTGAAAAAAAAATTGAAGCTTCGGAAAGTCAACTCAATAGTACCTCTTTGGGGGGGGGGGGGACACTATAAAAGTATTCCAGCATACCATCTAAAAATTTATTACGACGAAGATGAACAGGCAGAGACAGGAAAATCACCAGGTTACTGATGAAAGCGAAATGCCCTTTAACGAAGAAATACCGCTCGATTACTTAGATGCGTCTTTGGTATACAGTTCTTTTGACTTAGAAAAGAATTCAGAGATTGACGACTCGCCCTTCGTATTGACACATCAGAAAATGGAACGGTTCCATAAAGATGAAGAAGAGAATGGACCTGCTTGAAAACAAATTTTAGCTGAGTTCTTTAGTTGAACTACCACAATCAGAACAGCCCTTTGAGCTACCCCAATCAGACCAGCCCTTTGTGATTTTGATTTTCAGAATGAATACTTTGAGGACCTGCATTCACTCTCTCAGTGATGATAATGACGAAGGGTGGGTGTTTCATCCCAAAGAGGATATAAAACTGCTGAATGGGATTTTGAAGAATTACTAACTGGCGAAGAAGATATCAGAGAAGAGGTATTAAGAGGTGATCAGCCGCCCGACCCAGATCCGGGGGTATGACGAAATACCTGTTGAGCAACCCCAAGACATTTGTTTTCAAGGAAATGTCCAAGAATTGAAAGGTCCCTTTGAAGAGATGGACCCAATGTAAAAGAGGATAAAAAAGATCTGAATGAAAATGGAATATTCTTCAAAGACAAAGACCTTACTCAAGATATGGGCTCTCTCGGAGTATCTACCATTACGGCAATCCGAGGTCTAATATGTCTAATTGATAACAGTGAAACAAAAAAAAAGCAGACCCTTGACACTGACACGAAATATTCATCTGCTTAAAAGCTAAAAACATGGTTAGTACCAAGCGAAATCAATAGGGAATTGATAGATATGATTTTAGAAATGATTCAGTCATTTGCCCTTTAAAACAACAGTCGTTACTGACAAGGCCTCAAAGGCAAAGGTTTCTCCAGTCACTAGATAGCGCGGGGGATTTAGCCGAGCTGGCTGGATGCAAGTATGAAACTTTATTACGCAAGGAGAGGAATAGAGAATTACCACAGAAACAGACTTATGGCACCACTTTGGGGTAAAATGTGTTTTTGTTGGGGGGGACATTCATGGTATTCGAAAGGAAAAGATATGAAGAAAGAACATCCAGAATCAAACCCGAATCAAAAAATTAGCAGAGAAGGAAAAGCACTCAGAAATCAGGACAAAAATCAAAATACTTGATTCCTTTAATACCACAGATTATCAATATATAAGGGATCCAAAAATAGGCGAATCCCTCGAATTGGACGAGTTTGAAACTTGATAATTATTGTGAGGGATATGATTTGGAAAGCTGCTCCAAGGGTTTTCAGTTTGAAAAGGCTGGTATAGTCTATCACAGAACTAAAAGCATAACATCAGTCTCTAATCTACACCTAATAACGACGAGGTCCCAAATTTGACAAGAGTGGTTTAGAGGCCAGTTCACAAATCGGTACGAATCATATTGTGCTGTTGGAATCAAGTGCAGGACTCCAAAATACTCAGAAGCATCTCTGTCAGCCCTGTGAATTCTTTGGATAGAATTCAATGCTTTCCTCAGGGTATCTCGCGCAAGCTAGATTTAGTTCTTTGCTTTTAGTACTTATTTGATTGGTATCTTTTAGTTTTTTGTGATAATTATAATGAATAAAGCTTATAAAATGTAAAAAAAAAAAAAAAAAAGAGATACGTAAATAGAGCGGCATGAATTCTTCTAGCGGGAAAAACCAAAAAAACGTCCTCATTTCTTGGCGAGTCAAAAACACAATAGAGCTTCAAAATTAAAAAAAGGCTTTAGTCTTTTAGATATTTTTGATCTTTGTTACTCCCCCCCCCGCATACAAAATTTAGAACAGAGAGAGATATTAGCGAGTGGTCTCAATAAATAAATAAGGTAAAGGATCATTGATAGAGTACAATCTATATCAAGGATTCAAATATAGTCGCAAAGTTTTTTAAACCTTGAAACTTTATCCCAACTATTGAAACACCCACGTAACTAATGTCCTTGGTAGTTGGTTTTTTAATGATTTTTTGCCTCCCTAACAATTAAAATAGTTCGGACCAGCTTTATACATTTCAATTTCATCGCACAAAAGTCCAAACCATGTGTTTTTGAAAGGGCCTAAACATCAGTTATTGCGAATATATAAAATTTAAGTTGAAAAAAAGGAAACCCCACCCAATTCCCCAAATATTTTTTTTGTGTCTCTACCACTTCTTTTTTTCTCCATTTCGTACCAAGTACACTTTCAGACTCTACACACTAGAGACTACAGTGACACACTTGATAAAGCAAATAAGAAACCGGTTTAATCTTTTAAACCACTCAGAAGTTAGTAATGAAGTTCACTACTAATTTCGGTTCTGGCACAAAGAAGTCTTCGGATTTCCCAAAGGCGGTGGAAGCCTTTGACGCCATTGAGCCCTCCAGCTTTGATACATCAAAACAAAGTCAAGCCGAACATACCACGATGTTCAACAATTCTTCATGTTTCTCGAAATCCAAGAAACACTCTTCTCGCTCTTCTTTTTGTCCACAAACTTCTGGTGATGTTTCAGCCAAAACATCCACCAAAGGTGGACTTAAACAAATGACTGACGCTGAGCTCAAGGAAACCCCAAGAGTAAAGGTCACAAAAATTTCCGGTCTTTTCAAGAAGGCGAAGGCTAAGGTTTCAGCGAAAAATTCTTCACTCAAAACCCGTGCCAAGTCTGTGTTTGGAAAAGCTTTCTACTAAGTCGAAGCTGGAACCTCACACGGTTCCCAGCTCAGTCAACAAAACCAAGACTCATTCGTCTCGGGAATCTGTTTCAAAGCTTAGTATTCCTGTCCCACCAAAGGTTTGTGTACAAGCTGAGGTCCACTCGACTTCTGGTACACAAAACCATGGCTCACCAAAAGCTGGCGATCACGCACCCACTTTTGCACCCAGGGAAACTAAGACTCTGCAAACGAAGCCAGATGACACTGTTGCCCAGACTACTGCTACAAGTGGCTCTACTGGTGTTTGGGCTTGGTCCTGTCAAATATTCCAGGCCAAGAAAATCCAAAAAGATGAAGGAAATAAAACCACAAAGACAGACGCAAAAACCTCTGACTCCAAGATGGCGGACCTTGGGGCCGAGGGCAAAAGCAATTTGTCTGGTGGTATTATTGAGTCTGAAGATTTCCCTTCTACTCCCTCTCTTTACAAAAATGGGAAAACCAAAAACAAAAAGGGCAAAAAGGTGAAATCTACTGCTTCAGAGTCGCAAACAATACGCGAGACTCCCCCATCGGGATCTCAGAATTGGGTGCAAAAAATGTGCGGTTTCGCACCCAAAAGTGGCCCTGAAACCATGACTAAAAAAGACAAGAAACCAGAAGAGCCTCTTCCTAAAGTCTCGGAAACTTCTAAATTTCCAGACGAGAAAAAGGGAAGTGGATTTTTTGGATCCCTGTTTTTAAGTCCGGTTTTTGGCCGTGGTGAGGAGTTGCCTACTAAACCTCAAGGGGTCTTCTTTGAAAGTACAGTTCTTTGCTAAAAAGGCTCCAACCCGAGCCTTTGAATACTAACCCAATCTTTCCACTTGCAGATGTCGCTGGGCCTCCAAAGTCCAAGCCTGGTATCGTCTCATTTTTCAATAAGAAGAAGGCGGTTGAGGAGGATTCTTGGGTAATGTCTTCGGATCAGTTGAAATGGGCTGAGGTGTATCCTAAATCTGGTAAAGGAAAAAAAGGACCAGGGGGTCTAAACCATACCGCGAAAGATTATGGAAGCCCCAAAGTCACTCCCAATTCCGAGTCCAAGAAGCCAAGAAGACAGCTGGTACAGGCCAAGGCCACACGAGTCCTGAAATCTTCGCCCACTGCTAAACCTAAGATGGTGGGGTCCAATCTTAATGTTGAGCAAGCGAAAGCACATGGATTTATCAAGCTCCCTTCCAAGGTCAAGAAATCTTCTCGGAAATCCAAGAAAAACTCTAAACGGTTGTTCCTAGTCTTGAGAGTGTTTCGGAATTGCAGGAGAGTTTTTTCCCAACGGATGACAGAGCGGGTGTGAAGCCTTTGGTCTAGTACAACCAGTCGTGATGTTTTCTGATTTGACTGCAAAAGAATAACTAAAAAATCTTTCACCAGGATACTTATTGAGCTTGAGTTTCGTGTGAATCAAAATTTACCTTCCGGGGGTATATGAAAGAAGGTTTAGATGATCACATCGCTTATGGGGGTGGCAGGCAGTTATTCTTGCTTTCAGGGTTGAATGGTATTGATTGAGAGGAAGTTAATTGCATGGATTGTTTGGAAACTTTGATGGTATGAAAAGAAGAGGGGGGGTTTGGATGCTGGAGAGTCACAGTGACAATGCAAGTTCAGTTTGATTTTTTTGTTAACATCGGCGGGAAAAAAATTCACGTCGGTGTCGTTTTTACTAACAATCTTCTAGGAGAAAGCAAAATGAGGCGAGAGAAACGGGAAGAGGTAAGGACAACACTAGGGACAGAGGAAGACGGAAATGAGAGCGAGAGAGACGAGAAGATTTTCTTTCGGGAATTGCCCGTTAGATTGGCGATCAATTTAAGTTCAATCAGCTTGAGTTGACCAGCCTAATAAGGGACCCCAACAGAATCCACCTTCTTTTAGGGACTCGTGGAATTGCGTGGATCTGTTTTAGAAGCCTGGCTACTTTCTAAAGCCATCTACCTGGGGAGGATGGATGTTTATTGTTTTCAACAGTTTCTCCACCTAGTACTTTAAGCGTGGCTGCTATTGACACGCGCAAAAAAAAAACTTGGAAAACCCCATAAAAACAAAAAAAAAGCTAGAAAGAATTAGTCTAGCAATATTATTATTTGTTGTGTCATCTCAATTTGGTGTTGAGAGTGACTGTTAATTTTACTTTCGTAGGTACCAGATGAAAGAAGGGAGAATGAGGATTAGTGTGATAGTTTGATAGCAGACGCCAACTTAATCCTCTGAACATGTAGAATTTATGACCATCAA